CTATAGCCAATTCATTAGACAAGGATGACATTTTTAGCACTCAGCAGCCCCAAATCACACAAAAACCATGAAAACATTTTTGACACTCGAGGGGCGGGGGTGGGGGATGTTGTCCAGTCTAATCAATCCACTTTCATGAAGGCCTACAAAAAAATTTAGAATATTTACCATTGAGAGGTTGACATTGCGAGGATTTGGACAACACCATATGGCATTTGTCTTGTCAGACTGGCCGAGTAGTTTTACGCAATTTTAGTATTACTTCGCAGCGGTTGACGTCTCTTTTATGACCTCTAGGAGTGTTAGAATGTGACTTGAAAAGTGGCTTGTGCCGTTTTAAAATAAAGGTTTTATGATACTGAGCAGTTTCAGTCCAGAATGAATTCACTTTGCATTTTTTTTCTTTATAATATTTTTATTTTTAATGGGAATGATTGTTTTGAACCTGTACTCAAATAATGACAGTATTTAATACAGTGGTGCCTCGGGATTCAAGTGTCCAAACTTTTTGACGATTTTTTTTTTTTTTTTTTTAGATCCTAGCCATTGTTCAGTGTCTGTTTGAACACAAATGTTGGCGTAGGACATGTAGACAGACAATGTCAGGATAACTCAGGCATAAATTCTTAATGCTCTGTAAATAGCCACTAGTACTACACTTACCGAGGAGTTTTATGTCTATCCTCATGGGTGTATTATACTGCCCCCTGGTGGCCAAGCCGTATATATACCAGGAGGAGCAGCGGGGTTGGGGTGGGGGGGGGAACAAATGAACAAGTGTGTTAATATAACTTAATCTTACTGTATGTTTTTAATCAAGTATGATATCACAGAGTGCTATTTTTCAATGTGTGCTGTATCTGGGAAAAAAAAATCCCTGAATTGACTTAACATGGTCCCTAGGTTCACGTGTGCATTTTAGGTTCCGAGTGAAATTTCACCGGAAAGCTCTTGCGTACATGTGTGTCATCTCAAGACAATCTGTGGCGCAGGGAGTCATGCTGTCGATATGTTGTGTAAGAATAGATATACTGTAGCACTATTCTGACACCCACACAGAAAAAGTAGGCCATCGGCTTTAACAGTTGCAATGAAGTCATGCGGCTATTTTAAAACGATACACAAGACGATTGTGGCGTGATGACGAGTACGCGCGATTTGGGTGCGTGTTTAACAGTGGAAATTCCTCCTGGGGTCTGTCACAGGCCCACTCAACTATAATCAGTAGATTGACGAGGAACCGGGAATAGTTGAGGCAGGACACCAAATGCGATAGCAGGGCTCCACAAATAGATGAGAAGTGAGGCTCCTGAGTTGCTGTCCTGAGCTCTGCGATCGCTGGATGCGCTCCAAAAGTTGCCTTACTGAGGCCTGAGATGCTCCTCATATGGGCACGGTTGCCTCGCAGCCAAGCGGAGAAGCCCGTCTGCTGGAACTGTGGCTCGCTGTCTGAATTGGACTAAGATGGGCAATTTCAAAGAAAATTTGCCTCTACATAGCCAAGCCTGCACTCAATAAATGTTTGATACAATTAGTTTTCTATTTTCAACAAACTTACTCATGTATCCTGTACCAAAACACACAAACCGTTTTTCCCCCTATACACACTGCACATTGCACTCTTTCTTCTGTCTCTTTGGCTCTCTTACACACACTCTCTACTTTATTTGTAGAGCACTTTAATAGCTGCATACAAAGTGCACCAACTCGCTAGTCCAATTTAAAATTGTAGTGCAGTTTAAATTTCATTTCTTAAGAGGGAACCAAGGGGCAGCCAATACAATGAAAACAGCAGGGGTGTCAAGATTGAACCTTGTGGAACACCATGCAACAGCTGGGCAGAGTGTGACATAAAGCAACCAAGGCTTACACAAAATGTCTTGCCCACCAAGTAGGATCAAAACCACTCTAGAACACTAGCACTAATACCCACCTGGTGCCACAAATGAGCCAACAGAATACTGTGGTCCACGGTATCGAACTGATTTTTTTTTTTTCATCAGTGGTGGTAGTACCAGGCCTTTGTCGAGAACAGATTCTGTTTCAAGAAACTGGCCATGATAGCGTAAATTATACTTTGCTTTGCAGTGATAGCCATAAAGTTTCTCAAAGTACCACAGAACTGCAGTTAGGGTTGACATGTTTATTAAAACTGCAAAACCCAAGCTGTCAAACGCTGATGGCTTCGCCTCCGTCCGAATGATACTGATCACTCAATAGAAAAATGGAAGCACATCGTGACTTCTGGGACACCCTGGACATCATGAGCACAATTGAATTTTTTTTTTTTTTTTTTGCCATATCATGTCTAGAATGCCGTAGTTTTTATAGAACAGTGATGCACCAAAAGGTCATTAAAAGGGAAAGCGCCATGTCGATCTGGACTTGACCTTGACCGTACTG